TGAAAGTAGTTGAGCAAGTCCATCTTCACAGCAGCAAAGATGGGACCGGGTTCACGGGTCTCCTCCAAGGCCACCCCAAAGCCGTTGCTTACTCCCCAAGGGGCGCAAGTGCTGTACCAGGCATCCCGATCCTTCTACGGGGGACTTCCAGAGGGCCCTCCAAGGGAACATTCTTCCGGGCCCGAGATAAACTCGGGGAGAAAAATCGGCCCATCTGCGGTTCTTTCAAACGGAGGACCGAGCTGGCCCCGGGTACTCTGCTGAACATACGCCGACATGCTCTCCGAGTCAGAGTCCTGGAGAAGCATCGTGGGGCCCAGACCCAACCGAACACTGCAACATTTGGAATAATGATTCAATTCTAGCATCTACGATGTCATCTTCCAAAGTGTGTTCTCTGGGATGTTCATCAACATCACATTAAAAAAAAAAAAGAATCCTGTTGTCAAATACAGCTTGGGGACCCTGGACGGAAGCAGGGCAAAGAGCTTCTTTCCCACAGAATTCTCAGAGCCCCCACCGTGCGCTGTGTGACATGGGCCCCCGAGGAGGGAGGCTGGGATGACACTCGCGCAGCGTCTGCCAAGTGGGTTTGACCACACAGTGCTTTGTCACGATCATGTGAGGGACTGATATTCTGTAACCACACTTTGGAAAAACTTTCAGTGAGAACAAAGTAATAAAATAGGAGCTACACCAGGCCTGGGGGTTGGCAAACCATCGTCTTTGGGCCTGATCCATCCAGCTGCTTGTTTTTGTGCAGAGCTAAGAATGGGTTTTCCGTGCTAAACGGTTACATTTTAAATAGTTATGCAAGTCCTTGCATAACCTTCTGGGTTTGCCTCTTGGCTCCCAAGGCCCAAAATATTTATTATCTGACTCTTGAAGAAGAAGTTTGCCAACTCCTGCATTAGGCAATGAAAATATTTGAAGGCTATAAATTCTATGGGTGAGGCATACATTATTTGTATTCATCTTCACGACTCTGTTGGAAGGGCTTTCTCGCCCCCATTTTACAGAAGAGGATGCGAAGTATTACAGAGGTAAAGCATCGTCAGAGCCAGAACTCAAACCCAGCTCTGTCTAACCCCGAAGTCCATTCATCGTTCCTTTGTCAGTGGTTTACCAAGTGGGGTCCTTGCATTTCAGGGCGCGGATCGGACTTGTCACTGAAGCACAGTGGGAAATTAGATCTTCTAATTATAAACCCTTCAGTTTATCCTTTAGATAATCTTAATTTTGTGTATATATACAAGGTCCGACAGACATAATGCTGTTGAGTGTGGTTGGTAGGGTACATGAGTGTCTCACAGGAAATGGACAGCATTTTGAACCTTGCACCTAAGATGTCATGTGGTGTGCTTGCGTGTGATATTGTTATGTTGCAGAATTACATGCTTATGACTTTGTAATGAAAGGTCTTGTCATGTAAAAGGGACATTATTTGTGCCAGACCCTGTATTTTATTATGGTACATCAGCTAAAATTAGCCTCATCAGCAGCCTATAGATATTTTTTGTTTTAGATTTTATTTATTTATTTTTAGAGAGAGGAAGGGAAAGAGAAAGAGAGGGAGAGAAACATCCATGTGTGGTTTCCTCTTGAGCGCCCCCTACTGAGGACCTGGCCCACAACCCAGGCAGGTGCCCCGACTAGGAATCCAACCAGCGACCCTTTGGTTCACAGGCCGGCGCCCAGTCCACTGAGCCACACCAGCCAGGGCCCAAGAGACAGTTTTAAAGAAGCCTACAAATTGCTCCCCTTTTTCCTCACCTGAGTTCAAAACCGAGAGAGAGGCAGGGAGGGATCTGGTGAATGGAGAACAAGATGTCCCCTTTATTCTCGAGACAGCCGTGGCAGCGTCCGGCTTAGGTGAGGTGGGCTACAGTCATGGGTTTCCTGAGCCTGCACCCCAGAATCAGACACACTCACTGACCCAGGCCCAGGCGCCCCCGAAGAGTACAGGACTCTTTGGGGGGCGCCCTTTACCATGACGCCTCCCCCACCAGGAGCCAAGTGAGAGGTGTGCCCTTGAGGACATTGGACCCCCCCCCACACACAGAGGAGATGGAGGGGCTGAGCTCTGAGTGCCTGACTCCTTCTCCCCTTAATATCAGTCATTGGGACAACTCCCTCTTCTCCCCCAGGGAGACAGGGAGGGCCGGCGCATTGGCCTAACAGAGCTCTCTTCACGTGGACAGGAGCCCAGGCACACCGTGTAAAAATCTCCCACCGAACAATCTTGGACATGATATATTCACTTAGTAAACCTAAACACTGTATTGATAGCATATAATAAAAAATGTCCGAAGACCACTCTTTTATACTGCATTGCACAAGTGTGCGGCCAAGTCCCATGCACTTGAAAGGAATTAGAAAATATAATTCATTGTAGGGTCTGAGCTTCCTGGGTCCTGAGAGATGAACCTGGGCTTTATTAACTTGAACTTGAATGCTCTGAACACTGCCAGGAATGGACAGGTCTCTGAAGGAAAGCTCGTTTGTGGGGGAGGAAATAAATTCTCCCCCTGGCGTATTCTCCGAATACCAGGTAGGAAACCTGGCCACGGTTTCCTACCTGTGGCCATCTCGCAGCAGGAAGTCCATCCAGATTTGGCCGAGTTTGGCCAAGAGCAAACAGGAAACTTCCAAGTTCACGTGCAGCCCTGCATTCACAGAAGTTCCGTGTGCTCTGATACCACCAACGTTAGCAGGGAAGACTGGGTCGCGCTGAGTGGGGGAGTTGCAGCTGGAATTAGGGTTAGGGGCCAGCTAGGGGTGTGTTCAACGAGAGTTCAAGGCAGGGCTGAAATGTAGAATTGGACATGCTCCGGTGTATTATTTCCCGTGTGAAACACTGCTCCTGCCAGATGCTCTGTGAAGTGTGCATGGTCTGGTCACGTGCGTTTGAACAACCAAATCTAACCTCCCTCTCCTTCATGCTGCAGGTTATTATATAATGAGCTTTGAGAAGTCCTGCCTTCAAGAAACCATTTATATCACCCAGCACTGCTCGAACTAACGTGTCCACCGAACACTAATTTAAAAATATTTATTGATGCTTGTCCTGGAAAAGGCACTTTGGAAAATGGTGAATGAAGATAACAGATTTGGGAGTCTTCTCCAGCTCTTTCAGTGTAAGGGGCTTTGGAGTTAGACCCCCAGGTCCATCCCCAGATTAGCTGTGACCATGGGTAAACTTAGTCTCTCAGACTATTAATTTCCATCCATTAAATGGGTATAATTCCTACCTACAACTGTAGCGAAGATTCAATAGATAACCTACAAGGTTTCCAGCCAACAGCGTGTACTCAACAAAAGTTAGCCCTTTTCCTTAGGTATGGACTTAGGTTTTTGAAAGAGGAAGTGTTTCTTGAGGATGCTCTTGAACCCAGGAAGTAATTACATCAGGGTGAGATCTGTATTGGATTAGCATCTGGAAGGGGACACAGTATCGGGCAAAAGAGCTTGCGTAGGACCAGACACGGCACCAGCTCTGGGAGACTGGACCCACTGCCTTCATACGTCAAGTGCAGACATCAGGTTCACGGAGAATGTTTAGGATGAAATAAGTGTATGTAGCGTGGCCCACGGGCCTGGAACACAGCAAATGCTCAGAAAACTTACGGTGACACAGTTAGCAACAGTACAGAGCACTGTTTTCTGAGCACTTTAAGAGCACGCCAGGCAAGGTGTTGGTTGAGTCTGGCCATTTCCTGGAAGTGAACACGCACACTATCTCCTCACAACGGACTTTTTCATGGGTGCAGACGCCTGCTGATTCCGACTCCCAGGGGGTGCAGCCCAGGAAGGTACACCTCACAGCTCCCTGCCTAATTCTCATGGTCACTCAAGTTTGGGGACCATTGCCTGGAAAGCACGGGTAGCAAGAATGTGAGGACCAGGGGGACACTGGGCTGGAAGAGGCATGGACATTCGGGACCCTGGGCTCAGAGGAGTGGCCCCATGACGTGAGTCTCGGATCCACAAGTTCACCGTGACCATGGAGAGGAGGGTGTTGGCCGGTGTGTGAACGGGAGCTGGCCGGTGCTCGGTGCGGCATTTCTGGGCCAGTGTCACAGGAGTGATGGGGGCTGGTTCTGGGCCTGCAGGAAGGCGATGGGAGAGTGCCCAGGCAAGGAGGCCAGGTCTGGCTCCTGACCACGCCCGGCTCCCATCCCTTTCTGGCCCATGAGGCCTGTGCCCTTTGCACCCACCGGGGAAGCCCAGGCCATGGGCACGGGTCCTGTTACGGCTAAGCGCTCCTGGTTTGGAAGAGTTGGGAGAAAACGTCCCCAAGGGGACCGGAACCACATGATTCTCCCTTCTCATGGGAACAGACGTAATGAACAAGTGCATGAAGGACCAGGACCCCTAGGCCAGGTCTGCCAGAGCACACTGCCTGCCTTCCTATGCCTCCTCCAAGGGGGGATGAACAGTGTATGTAAACCCCCCCACCCCCCGCAGTTCTTCTGTTCGGGGGCTCTGCCGGTCCTCTCCTCCTCCCCCTAGAAGATGGGTGGCCGTGTCATTTTGTTTGAAGACTCACCTGGGACACAGAAAGACTCCACGTCGGGGTTGGTTTTGTCTCAGCTCTGCCCTCGGGAAAGTACTAAAAGGTCAGACAATGGCCTCCACCTCCGGGCAAAAGCCGGCCTGGGCAGTCCCCGCAGAGCCGCGCCCTCCAGCACGCGCCTGCCTGTCCGTCCGTAGACTGCACCAGCGACACACTCGAGACTCCCTCCCGGGCCCTGTGAGTGCAGGCAGAGCTGAGAACATGTGGGGGACACCCAGCTTCCCCTTGGCTTCCGGACCCTGTAGCTGAGAGAATCAAGGTGCGCGAGGGTCCGAAGAGAGAGGTCACTCCCATTTCTGGGCAACGCCCAGACATAAAAGCTCCCATAGGCTTCTGTCCTCTGATCTCAAAGCTCCAGGCCCAGATGCCGGGCCACAAAGTGACGCCCCCTTTCTTGAGCCAAATAAAGTCCACAGACACCGCATTTTCACAACGGGGCTTGAAACCAGTCAAGCATGTTTTTTTATTTAAAAAAAAAAGAAAGAAAGAAAGGAACAGTCTAATGGTAAGTATATCGTCTATACATGCTACAGCTAACTGTTCATCACCCCTCCCCCTCACATTATATATCCTCGTGGATTTTCGCGTGTGTTCAAAGGAAACAAAACCCACCACCGGAATCTGTGTGCGCCAAGGGCAGAGGGAGCGCTGCGCATCCAGAGGTGTCCGGCATCACCCTGCGAGCGGACGCAGGGTGGTGGGCCCATGCCGGCGGGGCCCACGGTTCCTGGAGGGACGCAGGTGACAGCCTCCTCCCTCGGGGGCTCCCTGAAGTGGGACGTGCAGGCTGCAGCTAAGGTGGCCGCAGCTGCTCACCACCCCCGGGAGAGTGAAAGCGGCGCTGCTGACAATGGCAGGCACATGCGGGGGCCAACTGTGGGCGCCTTGGTGGCCCTGCAGTTGCTCGCTGCTGGAGCGAGCCTGGCGGGCACCTCCTTGGGGGCGTCGACGGAAGAGCTGGAAGAGAAGGCTGCTGGCTGGCGGTGGCCCCGGGTTCAGCTTCTTCAGGGAAGCAGAGACTGAGCCCCCTTTCTCCCCGACGGGAGCCGGGAAGGCCTCCTTTAGCGTGAAGGGCAGAAATGGGGAGGGGATGGAATGCTGCAGCGTGGGGAGCGGCTCAGTGACCCGCAGGGTAGCACCAGAAACCAGACGTCACCCCACCACGTGGACGGTCACGCCTGGGGCGGGAAGGGTCCTCCACACCTGGGCGGCCTCCTGGTTTTAACTCCGCAGAGTCAGAACCTTAGCCAAGGTCGGAGCGATTCCTCCAGGCGGAGGGAGGGCACCCTGCACCCTCAGGCCTCGGCGTGAGCCAGCCGCCACCCGTTCAGGCCACAGTTTGACGCATGGGAATCCACGGCGTGGCTGTTGGCAGCCCCGAAGGAAGGGCCTGGACAACCAGGGGGGACAAGGCTGCCGTGCGCGGCTAAGGCTGTTGCGTGCCCACTGTCACAGTTCAAAGAGCAGGGCGAGGCCTCCCAGGGGCGGGCAGACCCGGCACTTGGAGACTCAGCGCAAGGCAAGGCTGGGAGGCAGGCCACGGGCCCTCACCGTCTCGCTGTCCAGGGGCCAGCTACTGGGGGGCCGAAGCAGGTCCTCCCCACCACCGCTCCGTGCTGGCATCGGCACAGGCTGCATCAATACTAGGCTGGTCCGCCCCTCGGGTCCTTCCAAACCTTGGGGAGATTCGGCACCTGCCCTTGAATGTGGCAAGTCTGTTTTCCTCTGTGCCACCTGGTGACGAAATCCCCGAAGTTTTCAGGCCTGGAGTGTAGCCTGAGAAATGGACACGACAAGGCCCGTGGCGGTGGCTCCCGGCGTCGGCTAGAAGGCTGGCCTGGGCCCTCGTGACTCCTCCAAAGTGACGGCATGACCAGCGGTTCCAGCTGGGGCCTCGCCCCCAGGACAAGGACCTAACCCCCAACCCCCATCAATAGCGAACAACGTCTGAGTGACAATGTTGAGTAAAGGCCCGTTTCATCCAGTGGAGGCCCTTAAAACTCAGATTCTTGCAGAGATCTGGCGGCACCACAGCTGTGGTTCTACGTTAAGACGTAAGGTGAGACGCAGGAAGCAAGCAGGGCCGAGAAGAGCAGAGAACCCTGCCCGTGTCTGCCTGTCGGAAGCGGACGGGTCTAATCGTCTAATCGTGGGGTGGGGGACAGGGAGACTCCAAGCCAGAAGGAGGGCCACCTGCCTCCCAGGAGGCCCCAAGGACGTTTCACGGCTGGTGACAGAGGAAGTCACGGGCATCGGGCGGGGGAAAACCCCTGGATTCCAGGCTCGGCTCGGTCACTGCCACTGTTCACATGATGCTAGGAATGGGGCCTCATCCCCTGGGCCTGTGTTCTCACTGCAGATCGGGACTGACCCCCCACCCCCGCCCCCACAGGGCTGTCGTGGGCACTGAGTTAAAGCAGGGACCTGCCGGGGCCTGGAGCGGGGGTTACTCCCACGGCCCAGGCCATTCCCACAGCCGGAACTCCGGGGCGGTCTTGCACACGCTCCGTCAGTTGCTCACGAAGAGTGGCCACCGCCCTGGGTGGTGTAGCCCTAAGTCCACAGTCAAAACCTCCCTCCCCCCGCAACTTCCAGGCGCCCGGGGAAGTGCCCACGGCTGTGGCAGAGGAGCTCGAGAGAGGAGTACTCAGGACACAGAGTATCCTGAGGAACAACAGTGAATGGAGAGAAATGTGGCTTCTGTACCTTCATTCCCGTCAGAATAATAATAATAACAATAATAATAATAGCAATAACAACAACAACAACAACGACAACAAAGGCAAGTTCTTTCATTTGCAGAAAGAACGTTCTGGCCAGAGAAAGAAAGAACCAGCGCGTTCCCACCCAGCTGACTCCCGGGAGGAGGGAATGAGGTCAAAGTCAAACCCTTTCGGTGGAATCAGCAAACAGAACCGCAGCTCGTCCAGCCAGGCAGGCAGCCGCACGCAGCCTGGTCCACCCGGCGCCTAGCACGGGGCAGGCGCCCACAGAATTCTTGGAAAGGTCAATGAAAGCACAAAGTGAGTCAGGAAAAAAAACTTAAAGAGCTTTGTCTTTTGAAACGCGTGAGTCAAATCCTGCCTAACAGCTTCATAAAAGCAGTTTGAACCAAAGTGGATCACTCAGGAAAACACGCTGCGGGGCCTCCTCCTGAGCAAGGGGACCCCCCACCCACGGTTCTAGAGGAGCACCTCAGGGCCCTGCCCCAAGATCCTCAGGGACAGGACCCTCAGACCGACTGAAGGACCAGGACAGTACAGTACAGGTCTAAGGACGCTCCTTCTTCCGCAGACACACCCAGGGTCCACCTGGTGGGGTGGGGGGAGGGCAGAGGACCTTCGGTGAGGCAGGTGGACAGCGAGCATCCCCAGGAAAGCTGGCTTTGTGGCTCCAAAAGCATTGCAGCCAAGGGACCCTCTGAACAGGCGACTCTGGGGCGGCAGGACAGGGCCACTTCCTCCTCCTCTTCAAGGCAGGGCGGGAGGAGGAGGGGCACTGCCCCCTCACCCCCAGGCAGCCTGGTCCTCCGGCAGAAGCTCCTTGCGGGGAACTGGCAAGCCGGGGACCTGGTTCTGGTCCTGTACGTGACCGTGACTCTAGGTGAACTGCACCCTCGACATGGGCGGGACGGCTGCCCTGGGTTCCTCCCAGTGAGACCGAGAAGGAGAGTGCTGGGGGAGCGGGGGAGAAAACTAGGGAAACCAGAACGCAGCAGCAGCAGCAGCAGCAGCAGCAGAGTGTGACAGGAGGCATCTGCCTGGCCCTTGGGTCCCTGTCACCTGAGGGGACCACTGCTCACTACACTCAGCTCAACAGGAGAACTAGCGGCTGGTCCTAGAGCCACCAGGGCCCCTCAAGGCTGGCACGAGGGACCCCCTGAGCTCTCTTGGCGCCCTCAACTCTCCCTACGGGACCCCAGCGCAGGAGCAAAACACGGGCTCTGACACCCACGCTTCTCCCTTCCCTGCCCGGCCGGCCTCCTCCGGGGTGAAGGGCACAGGCCTGGAGGTCGAGCCGGCCTGGATGCAACCCTCTCCCCCTCCTCCCAGCTGGTGTGCCCGGGGCACCCCAAAGCCTCGGTGCCTCCTCTATGGAAGGGGCGTGCCCTCACAAGGGAGGGCTCAGCGTGGATGGGAGTGCGGCACACGGGGTGTGGCACTGACCAGCGACTCGGCAGGGGCGGCGCTCACACAGGAGCGTGGCTTGGGAACGGTCCCCCTTCCAAACAAACATTGAGATTCTTGCTCAGGGCTGACGGAGTGAAACGCCCCGGGGCGGGGAGGGGGCCACCTGGAGCCTGGCAGTGCTGCGAGCTCCAGGCTGGACTCACCCCTTCTGGACCCATCGGGCTCCCGAGACAGGCGATGGGAGGCAGCATGGGCCGCAGCCAGTCAAACCTGAGAGCCCCCGGGGCCTGAGGCCTTGGAGAGGAGGACACCCCCTTTTGGGATTGGCCACAGAGCCCACTTCCATAGGGTGAAGCCCTTTTTGGTGCCAAGCATTTTGGAAACTGGGTGAACAGAACGTCGCTGGGCTTTTCAGCACGTGGAGGAGTTGGAGTCAGCTGTCACGGACTGTGGGGGCTGCCCCTTCCTTCGCTGGGTCCAAGCAACGAGAAACCCTTTGTGTGGTTTCTCCAGATGGTGGGGGGGGGTTCTGGTCCTGGAGGCCTTGGGGAGTCCCAGTGGCGCTGCTGGGTGGGCAGAGGAGCTTGGCGGCAATGCCACTGGCCTTCAGGCAGGGACGGTGGGTGGAGAGAGAGCAAGCGTGTAACCTCTGAGCCCCCAGGGGCTGCCGTGGTGGGAGGGCCGACCTGCCCATGGGAGGGAAGAAACCACAGTTCTCCGGAGCCTTCCTTCCTCCGGAGCTGCGTGGAGAATGATAAATTAAGAGGCATATTAAATATGTGGGCAAAACCAGCAGGGACACACAGGCCCCTGCCCTGACAGCGGGGGGGAAGGGGGGAGGAGGCTAGGGCTTCTTTCTGAGATAGTTGGAAGGAATCCACCCTTCCCAGGAGGGCGCCCCGCTGAGGACGTGGCAGAACCACCAGCCGCTACTGTTCTTCTCTCGGACCTCGAACACCGTCCCCTCCTGGAAGCTGCTTGTGTCTTCATCGCCCTCGAAGTTGGCCACGGCCACATACAGGTCCTTCAGGCTGTCGGCGCTGGGGAGGGGGGCTGCGGCCACCCTCTCCCGGTTTTCTCCCATCTTGCCCACCATCCGAGGCCCCGGCCCCGGCCCTGGGCCCAGCCCGCCTTTGCCTGGATTGTCGTCTTGGCCCCCTGAGGAGTTGGCAAGGAAAGGTTTGGCTTTTGGAGGGACCAGCAGGGCGCGGCCCGGGACAGGGGCTGCCCGGCCTTCGCCGGCCTCCCGCTGTGGCCCTCGGGCCTCGGGGAGCGGCCTGGACGCGGAGGTTTTCTTGGGGGGCGGTGGTCTGCGGGGCGGGATCATGGGTCTCTGCTGCTGGGGAGCGTCTTGGAGAGGCACGGGCGCGTTCTTGGGCACAGGATCCGTGGTCTTGGCTGGCCTCGGAGGGGCTCTGCAGGGCGTCGTCTCCTTGGGGCTGGGCCCCTCCGGCTTGCCGGTCCGGTCCTGTGCCCGGCCAGGCCCCTCCCCCGGGAGGAAGCTGCGGCCGCCGGCCACGTCCTGGCCCCCACAGGCCTGGTGGCTGCTCTCTCCATCCAGCGAGGGCTTGTCTTGGCACTTGGCAGGCCTGAGCTTGCTCCTGAGGTGGCAGAGGTCCACTTGGTCGTCGCCCTGAGGTGGCTCTGTCCTGGGGGAGGAAGCCGGCTTGGGCCTGACCTGAGGTTTGGACTTTAAGAAGGGGTTCTGGGGCATGGCTTCCGGCTTCTCCTCCGGTGGGTCAGCCTTGGCCTTGGAGATGGGCCGCAGGTTGGGCTTCTTCACCTCCTTGGCCAAGACCTTGTGGCCACACTCCAGCCCCATCTCGTTTTTCAGCTGGAACAGCTTGCCCCTGTCGGGTCTGGGCTCTGGCCTCCTGCCGTCCCGGGCCGGGGGGCTGTGTTTGGCTGGCATCATCGGCAGCATCACGCTGGGGGGCTTGGGCGAGGAGCCCCGCAGCTGCTCCGCCCTCTGCCGCTCCCGCTCCTGCAGCTCCCCCTCGGACTTGAGGATGGACTCTTTCCGGGGGGGCAGGCTGGGCTTCTCCTCCGGGTCGCGCTCCGAGATCTCCTCGTAGCCTGCACACAACGCGTCTGAAGACCCCTTTCGCGGGCCCTCCTTGCCCCCCTTCCAGTCTTTGGACCAGGGTATCCCGGGGTCTGCGGCACTGAGCGGCGCGTCGGGCAGGGGCCGAGAGGGGCCGCTGGCCTCACCGCCCGTGGTGCTCTCCGTCGCTGCTGCGTCCCCCAGCCGGAGCTGGGTCACCTCGTTGGGCAGGGGGGCCAGAAAGTTGGGTCTCGAGGCATTGCTGGTCTTCTTGTACTTGTCAATGAAGGTTGCCGGGGCCCACCCTTCCTTGTCTTCGATCTGAATGTACCACCAGCCGCTCAAGTTCTTCTCGATCACCTGGACAGGAGGACGGAGGGAAGTACTTAGTGGGTTAGGGCTCCAGAGCCGGCGGAGACCCACAGGCAGCTGGGCCTCCAGAAGTGGGGCTTTGCGCTCAGCAGGTCCCCAGACCACGTGTCTGGTGGACCGTCTACGGAGACCACCATGTACCGGGAATACCTCACGCACAGGGGACGTTTCTCGTCTAGCTTTGGAGCTCCCCAGAAGCGCTCTCCAACACCTGAACTTGCAGACAGGTGGTCCACGTGAGAGGCGACTTCAGGAAGTCACGAGTGAGGGGGTGGGGAGTGCGAGAGCCCACTGTGAGCAGGTTACAGCTCTCGGCCACGGGGGCTTAATCCACCAGGGGCCCTCCGAGGGGCCGTGCAGAATCAGACGGTCCCACTGGGGGCGGGGACATTTACCTCCGGACTCCTAGTGGTGCCTGCCCCCCAAGGGATTAATCCCCCCCTTTCTGGGCAATGCCCTCAGGCTACATAGGAGGAGGGAAGCTGTGGGCCTCAGGGACCTGCAGGCAGCTGCAGGTCAGACACTCAGGGGGGTCAGGATGCAGGGCGGGGCCGTAGTGGTGTCCGCTACGATTCTAAAGAGGTGCTGATGAAACCCGTACGCAGCCCAAACCAGCCCTGGTTGCTGCTCCTGTGGCTGCACACGGAATAAAGCGGTTGGCTGGTGTTTGCGGGCCTTGCTGGGTGAGAAACGTGTATCCTTAAACGTGGGACTCACACTCAGCTCATGTTTCCATTCAGGGGAATGGATATGGAAGGAGGTAAAGCGAACTTTCACCTCCTCTCCTTCTCCCTCTGGGATACACACCCACTGAATGGGACGGTGGGTGGACCCACCCACGAATTTAAGATGCTGTTTTACCTGTTGCCTTTCGTTCAGGACCCCGTGTCTAAATTCACATGGGTGAAAGGTGCGCACGCTTCATGCCATGAGCTGAACTATGTCTACCCAAAATCTCTATGTCGAAGTCCTCGCCCCTGTACCTTAGAATGTGACCGTATTTGAAGACCGAGCCTTGGAAGAGGTAATTAAGTTAAAGGGGGTCATTAGGGTGGGCCCCAGTCCTGTGAGTGGTGTCCCTACAAGAAGAGATTAGGACACAAGAGAACGTGCAGAATGAGGGACAACCATGTGAGGACACAGGGAGAAGACGTCCGTCTACAAGCTTGGGGGAGGAGCCCCAGGAGAAGCCAGCCCTGCTGACACTCTGATCTCGGACTTCCGGCCTGCAGCGCTGTGAGGAAATGAATCCCCAATGTTCAAGCCCCCACTCTGTGGTACTGTGGGAGGGCAGCCGGAGCTAACTAATACCCGCCGTTCTCTGGTGGGTGCTGTGCACAGGAGGTCTGATTAATGCTCACAGCCGCCCCATGCGACGGGGATGCTGACTCCACTGCACAGGTGCAGAACCGAGCCTCCGGAGCGCCAGGGACGCGCAGAGGGTCGAGCGAGTCAGTGGTGGAGGTGGGAGACAAAGGCAGGCCGGTGGGCTCTGGAGCCTGAGCCTTTTCCCTATCTGCCCCTGTTCTAACAAGGGCACCCTGTTTGGGGAGGGGCTGTGCCTGAATAAAATGCTAGGAGCACAGAGGGTGGAGGGCGCAGCTCTGCGCCCCTGCTCGGAGAGGAATGGCAGCCACCACAGAGCCGGTGCAGGAGGCAGAGGCTGGGCTCCGGGGCCTGCAGTCCTGGCCTCACCCCTTGCTGTCTGAACGGCGCTGCACAAACCACATTCCCGAGATTCCACCCCACAAAAAAAGAGATACTGGTAAAAGCGATCACCCCCACTTGCGGGTTTTCATGATGATCACATAAGCTAAAGCATACACCAGCACTCGGCAGATGCCAAAAGGTAAATGTTACCTATTATTAAATTACAGCAAAGGTTAGCGAGAGAGCAGGATGCACGTGACAGGCATGTACGTCAGTCCCACTGGACTCTCTCCAGGAAAGGGCACGGATAAACGTAAGCCCTTCACCTGAGGGTGACCAGCATCTTCCCAACACTTGGTAGCTATGGTAACAATGAAAGGTGATTCTGGGCATACAAGTCATTGTGGGCACATCCGTGAATTCAACAAGTCTAACACTACATATGAATAATAATCAAAATGAAAAATATCAATGAAAATTTGCTAAGCTTACACTCTATGCAAAGTACTATGGCAAGAGCTCTAAACATCTGTGCTACTAGTCACAACTTATGGGAGATTTTGCTTACTAAAGAGAAGCTAAGAGCTACTCAGAACAAAAGCAAATGCAAAATCAAAAGAATGAGGGGGAAAGAAAAGAGCCCGGGCTTTAAAGCCACAGAGACTGGGGTTCATATCCTAGCTGCACCACTGACTACGTAGGTAACCTTGACCAGTTTACCTAACCTCTCTCTGTCTCAGGTCCATCTGCAAAGCAGGCTGAAGATCCTGACCTCTCGGGACTTAGATTAGTTACCGAGGATGTAAGGTACCTGGCGCAGAGAGATGCCTGCGTCAGCACCGTCATTACACATGTTACAGAGATACACAGCCTCGGCAAGGAGTCAGGCGGGCCTCACAGCTCCGCTGCTAGGACACTCACTGACTGTCTCCCGTAACGAATTCTGAAGGCTAACGCGATGTTGGAGTGGACCAGGAAGCGACCCTGGAGAGGAGGAAAATACGGTACACAGAATGTATCGCAGGAAAACACCACTTGGATAAGCCAAATGCTTTATATACTGCTATGAACCGATGTCACCACGGTAAATGTAAAAAAAAAAAAGAAAAAGACTCACAGGTAGGCAAAGGCACAGCAGGCCTACTCACCTCGACCTTCAGGCCCGCCTGGAAGCTGATGCCATCGGGGATGGTGGTCTGGAATTCGGCAATGGTGTAGTACTCTTCCTCCACCTGCGGCGGGATGGGGGGCTTGGGCAGGTTCAGACCCCGAGGCTGGGTGAGTAAACACAGTGCTAAGTCCAGTGTGAGTCCATTACCACGGCGCTGGAAGAGGGGGGTGCGGGGTGCTAAGGGACAGAGGTACACGACTGTCCTCAAGGGGGCGCTGATGGACCCATTGGACAAAACCAAGAGGACCGTTCAGAGCATTACCTCCTCGATGAGTTACTGGCCCTTCAGCTTTAGAGCAAAGAGAAGAAACATTTGCCAACAATCATGAACATCTGAGGCAAGACCAATATTCTCTGAACTTAAGAGGCAGCGAGGGCTGTGGAAGGGACACAAGTTTGCAAATCACTCCCGTCTGGGTTAGAAACACTGATCACGTGTGGGACAGGGGAGCCTGTGTTTCGTCTCCCGGGGAACTGGGACATGACAGCATGCCCCCGGTGGGGTCCCTGCAGGCATTCCGTAAGCGGATGCAGTGAAGCGCCCAGCGCACTGCATGCACCCAGCAGGTGCTCACTGAATGGCAGGAGGTAAAAAAAGATGACCCATTTTTCAATGCATTGGTCAGCAAGGTCCCAAAGGAATGAAAAATGCATGAAGTAAAATGTCAGAATGGCGCCACAAATGGTCTTCGAGCCTCATCCCAGTTTCCGTGTTAAGTCACCGGGTCTGAGAAGACTGACCTAAGACAAGGGGACACGGGCTTGGGAAGCACAGGGCACATCCCGAGGTCTAAGTGTCGCAACGCCACAGGCAACTTGTTTTTCCACCTGTTAACGGGACGAACACTTGTCCGGCCTGCCACAGGGGGCCGCTGGGTGGACAGGAAGGGAGCTTCTTTGGAAAGGGCCAGGTACACGTGAGAGGTGGGCGTCGGCTCCCCAGAACCAAGGGCCCACTTACTATGGTCATATCCCGGCGAGGAGGGGGTCTCTGCCTCATCTTGGGTGATCCTGTGAAAAGACAAGGTCTTATTTCACACGCGTGCAGAATTCTACAGGTGATATTCCTGGGGGGGAGGGACACCAGGAAAAGACCTGTTCTGTTCTGTACACGACAAGGCACAACGCTCCGCACGGGCCTTAGTGAGCTGCTGGGGGCCTTCCTGCAAGAGCAGCCGGATTGGGAAGAGGCCGTTCAGACTTGGCTCGGGAAGGCCGTGGCTGCAGTGCCGGAAAGCTTTCCAGGGAGGGCGAAAGTGCAGGCTTCAGGATAACACAGAGGTGGGCTGCCACAAACTTTCTGACTCTCTGAGCCCCAAGGCCCCTGTCTGCAGAAGGAGAGCAGTGTCTGCCTCCCAGGGGCAGTGGGAGAGATGAAAGTAAACAATATGTGTGAGGCTCTCAGCACATGGCAGATATGTCATCCACATTACTGCCTCTGGCTTTGTGTTCTAGAACAAATCCAAAAACAACATGTAAACCAGACCAAACTCGGGCTGATGACTTCTGGAGTTTTTACTCTGGAGTGGGGCTGCTCTCACTGTGCGCCTCACGGTCAGGAGGAGGATGTTTCTGCAGTGGTCCAAGGCTCCTGGCTAAAGGCAGAATGTTGAGAAAGGCACCCCATGTGTTGCCAGAGCTGGCGTAGCACGGGTCTGCACAGAGGTGTAGTCTAGCAGTTGGGGTGTGGAGACGACTGCTAATCTCTCCAATAACCACTTCTTCTGTCTTCTATCAGCATAAGTAGCAACAGAGTTTTAGCCAGACAACTAGCTGCCTATATAAAGACATTTCCCAGACTCCCTTGCAGCTAGGTATTGCCACGTGACCAGGTTCTAGCCACAGGATGTGAGAATGCGAGAATAGTGCAGCTTCGGGTCTAGTCAGCCACTTCTCTCTGCCTTATTCCATGGACCGGACTAGCCATGAGCCGTCTGAGACTAGGCAGACGAGAGCAACACACGATAGATGCAGCATAACAAGACCCTTGACTGCACACAGTAGCCACAGAAGCCCTGACATGTATCTGAACTATTTCGTAAGAAAGAAGGAAATATCTGAATGATCTACAACACTGTTATCAGGTGTATGTATGTGGTGGTGGGGGGTGTGTGTGTCTTTCTTTGAGCAGTGGAACCTATCTTAACACGGAGTTTCAGGCCTTCGCTCGCTCCTCTGGGTTAATGGGGATCCTCCTGTGCTCTTGGCCATGACAAATCGGAGTCACAGAATCTAGGTGCTGGCCAGAACCCCCACCGTGGCTTGTCAATGCTTTCTCAGAGCAGCTCAGCAGAGAATGTGAGACTCGAGAAGTTCTTGGGCTAAAAGAGCCCTTAAACAGCTCGAGAAGCCCAGCTGGGGGCACACGACTTCATCCCCATGGCCCACAGAAGGCCTTCTGCTTGAGGCTGGAGTCCTAGGAACGTAGCAGACAGTAATGAACCCTAATCTCAGGTGTGTCTGGCACACTAAACGGTAAGAGAGATACTTGCTTCGAGAAAAGCAAGATGGATAAAGAACTGCCGTTAGAGTAAACCCAACGTAAAATGGTCAGCTTTTTCTTCCTCTGGCTCAGAAACGAGGCCATGCGGAGAGAGCACTGGCGCTGGAGTCAGACGGGCCTGGGTTCAAATCCCGGCTCCACCGTTTACTAGTGGGGCGGCCTGGGACAAACCACTTGGTTTCTCTGTTTTCCAATCTGCTTCCAATCTGTGAAGTAAAAGCAATAAGCTCCTCCAAGGTCATTATGCAGAGTCAATGAGACTAAGTCCAATGTTCCTGGCACTCAGCAGGGGCTGAGGAGCAGCAGCTATCCGATCATCGCGAGACGGTGGAAAACATGGCCCGGAGCAAGGGAGCGGCATCTCTGCACCCGGGCTCTGCAGCTTGCTGGCTGAACGGTCTGGAACAAGCCACCCAGGGTTTCCGGGCCTCTGCTTTCTTACGTACAGCATCAGCATGAGCGACAGTGTGTGTGAGGAGCACTGAGCACAGAGCTGGTCCCCCAGCCTCTGGGGCTCGGGTGGGGGGGTCACTCACTCGGCTTGACGTCGCCGTCCGGCACCGGGCGGCCTTCAAACCGGCCGTCCCTCTGGTTGCTGAGCGGCTCCTTCTCCCTGCCCACCGAGTTCTGCGGCCGGGAAACGCCATCCAGGTCGAGGACGCCCGAGTGGGCGGAGGAGCCGGGGCCCAGCTTCGGGGGTAAGGGCTCCCCGCTGCTCTTCTTCAGGTAGGAGGCTGGGGCCCAGCCCTCTTTGCCCTGGTACCTGCGAGGAGGAGGAGGAAGGACACTGGTCAGGCTGTTCTGCCACCCACGGGAAGAAGCCGCACTCCCACTGGGAAATCACATCTTGGGGCCCAGATGGCAGGAAGGACGGGTCACAAGTGCCCAGGGCCGGAGGCTGGCACGGAGCTCGCTGCCTCCTGGTGAAGCCTGAGCCTGCAGACCTCAGCATTCAAGGCCTTCCAGCCCAGCCTCTGCTTGCCCCCGAGTCCTCTCTCACAGCAACCCCACGCCCCGCCCACCCCACTCGGCCTGCAGTCTCCCCAACACACAGCCGTCTTCGACCCCCACGCCCCTGCTCGTGGAGATCCTGTGCCAGCAAAACCCCTTCCCCCGCTCCTCCTGCTTCTCTTTCCCAGCTCTGCTTAACACTGTTTCTCCCCTCAAGACTTTTCTGAGCCTCCTCGAGAACGAAGCCCTCCCCCCAGGGCGCCCCGCCGCCTGCGTGCACCAGCCCCAATGCCGACGACACAGACACACTGGGCAGGCCTGTCTCCCCACGGAGGACGCGAGCTCTGGGGCACGGCCCCGGCTGACCCAGCCGTGTGTGTCAAGGGTCTCAGTGCCAGAGAAGTGCAGAAAGAAAGGGCCAAGGGGGCAAACCGCAAAGGGGCCTGGCCAGGGGGAGGAGCCTCTGCTATTAGAGCCATCACTGCAATCACGACAATAGTGATAACTGGTGCTCAGTGGGCACTTGCTGTTCTCCTCTGGGTACTTTACAGCCACGGGTGGCTTTCGTCCACCCAGTCCTGGAGGTGGCGGACAGGCACTCAGACCCAGGCTGTTGGCACCCGTGTGTGCTCCTAGCTCCCAGACTCGGCTGCCTCTTCCCAGCAGCTCCGGCTCTGGGCGCAGGAAGGGCGGGGCTCTGGGCGGCTGGCTCCACAGGCATTCAGAGGGAATGAAGCAAGTGGGGGCCGGTTCCTAATCTCACCCAGGATCAGCTGGGTCCCTCCCCGAACTGCAGAATGACAGAGACCCTGACAGGCCAGCTCACCGAATTCCAACAGGAATCCAGGGAGTACAAGGGTCACCGAACTCTCTGCGAGGAACTCAGTTCACGGCAATGACCCAAGGGGCTGGGCGGGGACCAAAGGCGCCCCAGAGCTGCTGACACTGTGCGTGACGGCCAACGGCACCTGTCTCTTTTGAGCTCCAAGTTCAGGTCACGTCACACTGGACGCCTGAAGCTGGCCAGGGCGGGAGTGTTTACACCACGGACATTGGCAAACACGGCAACTCAAGAGCCTCTTCCCTTCGGAGAGCCGCTGTGACACAGGTGCCTGCACCCACGGGTCTGGCCCGGAGAACAGGTGTCCATGCCTTCGGGAGAGTGGAGCACACCTCCCTGAGCGGCAGTGACACGTGACGGGCCCAAGCACCCTGTCAAGAACTACTTGAAGGACTAGGTGGCACTGTTTCCATGAGCAAGAGGTCCTCTGTAACCGAAAGCTAATGTATAAGGACACAGAAGTCTGCAGAGCTTGGCGTCTACCAATCAATGCTAAAACACCAGCCCTCGAGTGGGAATAAACCTTGTCCGAACTGGAAAATGCCGCGCCCCATGCAGCCCTCAGCCCCAGTACGAGACAGTTCATTCAGGCGCAGAGCCATCGGCAGAGAGACCGAAAGGTAGGGGTTCAAATCCTGGCTCTGCCCCTTTCTCCCTTCAGCCCAACCTTCAGGTGACTGCAGACCTTGCTGACGCCGGGCTGCGGCCTCAGGGCGGACCCAGGGCCAAGGAAGCCATTCCAAACCCCACAGCCACAGGTTTGGGGATCATGTGTTACACAGCAAGATAGCATGTATGTCCAAGGGGTTATGTATCACTGTCATGACTCCTTCGGACCTCAGTTCTGCGGATCCCCTCCCTCAGGAAGCCTTCCTGACCCCGGGGCTGAGAAGCCCCTGTTCTGTGCTCCAGACTCCCCTGGGCACCTCTGCAAGGTATCACGCTCCACCCCGGGATGGTGTAGGAGCCTGTCCTCAGTGCCTGTCACCGTGAACTGCTGTCTTCCTCACTGTGGACCCCACCCCCCAGAACAGTGCCGGTGCGTGTCTGCGGAGTGGAGGAAGTGCCACACACTCGGCCCCACCCGAGTAGCCCTCACGTCCTGCCGCAAATCACGGCACAGACGCTGGGTCACTCCCAGGCTTCCTCTCTTGCCCCAGTTTCCTGTGGTCACCGGCTGGCTTCTAGGGGGACCCAAAAGGGGGTTCCCCAGGACTCGTTACTAAACCTGGGAAAGCACCAGGCAGACCAGCGTGCGGAGCTAGCACCCCACCTGCCTATGGGGGTCCCGATTTCAGGACCCAGGGGAAGGAGCCGTGACAACGTGTTTGAAAGGCCTTCACTGCGGGACCACGAGAGACCCGCACTGGCCGCAGAGCCGGCCGAAGGGGGACATCATCACACACGCGGCAGCTCCGCCGCCGGCTGCGCGTTAAGAGGAACATCTGGGGGTGGAGGCCAGTCTTGCTCAACAGGGTTACCGCTCTCTGTGGTTCGCTGTGTTGGGAGAAGGTTTTGCTTGTTACGGATTTTTAGGGAAGGATCTGGGTAGGGAGCGAAGCCAAAGAGCACAGAGGAGAAGTGTCTCTTTATGGCTTGGGCCAAACCCCACCCCATCCGCCATGGCTCACAGACCTCTGGGCGGCTGGAGCCCACAGGACCTGGCACCCACCCACCCACCCGCAGCGAGTACCTGATCTTCCACCAGCCTTCGAGGTTTTTCTGAATGACCTCCACCACGGCCCCTCTGTCCAGGTTCATCTCATCCTGGTCACGAGCCGTGTATGGGTAGATGACTGTGTACTTCTCCTCTGCGGGCACAAAGGGGTGCTGGGTAAGTCAAGGCCGCTGAGGGTCCCCGGACATTGATGGCCAAGGCTGTGGTCTGTGAGGTGTCCTTGCCCATCAGAGGGAAAGATTTCCTCCAGATACTTCTATGCATCCTACACGTGGCCCTGGATGACCGTGTGTGCAAGCAGCAACAGCACACGGACCGAGGGCAGGTCCAAACCCCTCAGTGTCCCCCATTCCTCTCACCTCCTTCAAATGTGTGCTTCAAGGTCACCTTCCCTGACCTTGCCTCATGCCATATTCAGACCCACGGCGTCCTCATCGTCCTTACCCAGGTTTACTTCCCTCCCATACCAGGGATTACGTTTTTTTTTTGTTTTAAAGATTTTATTTATTTTTTAGAGAGGGGAGGGAAGGAGAAAGAGGGAGAGAAACATCCATGTGTGGTTGCCTCTCGTGCTCCCCCTACTAGGGACCTGGCCTGCAACCCAGGCATGCGCCTTGACTGGGAATCGAACTGGCGACCCTTTGGTTCATAGGCCGGAGCTCAATCCACTGAACCACACCAGCCAGGGCAGGGATTAAGCTCTAACACACCATATAATTTACTTATTTATTGTGTTTTGTCTGGGGACTGTTTCCCCTTAGAGGCAGGGATCCATGTCTTTCCTGTTCATTCCTCTGTCTCCAACACTGAGTACTGAGTAACTGCGTAGTAGCACACAGGTCCTGGCGGTCTGCTGGGAGCCGCCCTGCTCACACCCGAGGGGGCTAAACCCTCTGTGGCCCCCGCGCAGCCCTCGCTGGGGGAGGGTCTGGGACCAGCTGGAGCGGGCAGCGCGTGGTCTCAGGCTGAAATCACTACTGGGGAGACAGCTAGCACTGTCGTCACCTAGCTGGTAACTAACTGATCTTCATTTGTCATGAATTACTTTCAAGCCCCTGAGTCCAACCGTGCCTGATGCTCAACTTCATGTTTTAAATTAAATTTTAAATTAAGATGTAATTGACATCTAACGGTGTACTATTTTTAGGTGTGCAAACATAACAATCTCCATAGCTACACACAGACATGTCTCACAAAGTGCCCACCTGCTTCAGTTTTCATGAATGGGACCGGGGTGCCTTTCCCCCCACTCTCCGGTCCCCTGCTCCCTCCCCGAAGGCCAGGGGACCACCCTTGGGGCCCCAGTCTCCTGTGAGAGTGCTGCCTCTAGTCGTGTCCCTCCCAGGGCAGGGGCCTAGGCTCTGCTGCAAGGGCTGCCTACTGTCGCCCTCAGGCAGGGTCCGCCAGAGGGCAAGAGGGCGGCCCCCATCCCCAACGCCACCGTGGGCAGTGACTGCTGGGCCAGAGAGCAGCTGAGTGTCCCAGGGGAGCCCAGCGCGGAGGGGAGGGGGCTCTCCTGTGTGGGTGGCATCCTGGCCCCCAGGGGGTGAGCGAGCCAGCTGTGGGCTGGTGTGGACGGTTAGCGTGCGGGGGCCGCCTCTCCCTTCGGGTAAACACCAGTCTGCCTGTGGCCTGCCCAGCTGGGGCGCAGGGAGGCGGACAGCACGCGGGGCGTTTATTTATTTATTGGTCTAGCCTGCTGACCTGCTCCTCGGGGGCCGAGCTGACTCGGGTTGCACAGATCCTGTGCACAGCAGCGTCAGCTGTTCCCCCGCTCAGGGAGGCTGCAGGCTGGGGGGCGGGGGTAATGCAACCTGGTCTGCAAACGGAAGTGCTGTCTGCCTGGGCCCCAGGCCGAGTGCAGGTCACCCTACAGGCCCCGGCCGCCTGGGGCCGGCACCGTCCGGCTGTCTGGCACGAGGGGATTCTCCAGCCCAGAGGCCTCTGTGGGCTCCGTGGGACCCTCAGAGACCCCTGATGAAGTTTAAGGTAGAAGACTTTGTAGACTGCATGGTGGGTGCTGCCTGAGGGCACCTCCACTTAGGACCTGCCTGCCCCCGTCCACACGGTTTGGGCGAGGCTGACTTCCCCGCTTCCTGGAGGGAGAGAAGGGTCTCTGGCCCTGGCCTGGCATCCCCCTGGCCACCGGGATTGGACCAGGGATGGCACATGACCCACGTGGGTCAGCTGGAACCCATCCTGGGGTTTGTTTGGTGGGTGTCCCTGCAGGGTTCCTGGAACTACTCTCGCCATGAGAGAATGGCTCCAGCAAGGTGGAGGGCAGAACAGAGAGGTGGCAGGAGTATATCAGGCCCCCAGGATGTTTTCAAGCCCCTGGATCCAGCCACACCTGCAACTATCCCTACTCTGAGCTCTTTAGTGCTATGAGTCAATATACTTCCCTTTTTTGCTTAAGCCAGTTTGACGTGGGTCTCTTTTCCTTGCAACTCAAACGTGCCCGAGGAAAGGAATGGGTCACTAGCTCAGCGTTAGAGAGGCCCCAGACATCACTCTTTAACCCGGGAACTTGAAGGCCCAGGACCTGTCCTCCCAAACCCACATGCCAACACACACACGGCACCGACAACGCACACGGCACAGACAAGGCCACTGCGTCTCACATGCAACAGGCACAGAGCAGGCAGGTGCGTGCAGATGCAAGGACCCGGCTCCCGGCCCCGAGCGGGGAAGCAGACTCCGGGGAAGCAGACTCCAGACACCTGGTCGCCAGCTGATGGCATACAAGTCCCCCAGGGTGCGGCGGCGGCCCACGGGCCGGGGCAAAGACCAGTACCTCCACGAGGCTGGACGGGCGGCATGTGGAGGGGAAGGGCAGAAGGCAGAGGTGAGAAGGAAGCACTTCCGGGGTCCCCACTTCAGAGAAATTATTTCTGAGTCTATGCCGAACCTGGGTGTCTCAAAAGGACCGGGTTCCTGAGGATTAACCTTGCACTTGTGTGAAGAGGCATCCAGGAGACATAATTCTTTCCCTGGCACCATCTTAGAGAGGCCCTAAGAGAAGTGTGTGTGGCGAGGGGAAGAAAAGTGCACAGATCCTCGGGGAAATGTGGTCTCTCTCCCATCTACTGGCTGTGTGACCCTGGGCAGGCGTCTCTGCCTTTCTGAGCCTGTTTTCTCATCTGTGGAATGGGAATGCGGGTAATAATCAGCCTCTTACCGAGGCACGCCCGTGTGGTTGTCAATGACGGTCTAAGGGAGCTGGAGTTTCCAGCCGTCTGCACCTCGGCCCCCTGATCCAAGTGGATTCTGGGATTCTGTAGTATTCCCGGGTTACCCCAGCCCCTCCCCCCTGACCCCACAAATACGGAGCAAACCAACAGACATTTTACTCCAGGGGCTGCTGGCCCCGATAAAGCTGAACACAAAACCACACATAACCCTTGAGCACAGAAATATCCCCTTCTTCTCGCCCTCAGTTCTAATAGGCGCTTGCTCAGAACACCTAGCTAACAGGCCCAGGTGCTCAGCCCTAGGTAAGCACAGCTGTATGATAGTGACTGGTCCTCGTTGGTTTGGGATCTTTGTCAAGTGCTTTGCACATGTGATCTCATTCAATTACAAAAGAAACCCCAGGATGCAGACATCGTTTCTGGTTTTTGAGGAGGTGGTTGTGTTGAAGAGAGGTTAAGATGCCAGCCCAAGTACACTCAGCCAGTGAGTGCTGCAGCTGAGATTCAAATTTCTGTCGGTCTGACCTTAAAATCCTTCTGTTCGTTCCTAGGTGAACGCACACTCTAGCTTTAGGAATGCTGTTGGGGGGGAGGGGGTCCGCTGGGCCTTAGCGGTTCAGACCCGGCCAGAGCCGCCCCTTCAGGGCACCTGTCGGGGGAAGTTCTCCGGGAACTGGAAGTGTGTGTCGGCCAGTGAGGGGGGTCGGCTCTGACCCTGACACCCACTGGGGCCATTAAACCAGCCCAGAAGGCAGAGAGATCTTTACAGATGGCTTTCGCTGTCTTGCAGATGAGCTGGGTGCAGCAGCCCCATACTGTGGCCGTGAGAATGATTCAGGGGAGTGTAAGTGACCCTGTTGACAGGCTGGGGTCCCCTGGGGTTCCACGCGGGTGTCAGGCAGGGCCCAGCTCCCTCCAGGATTCCCTGGGCTGGCTCCCAAAGGGTCCTAAGAAAGGGGCCTTCAACCTTGACCCCACGCCTGGCTTCACGTCCCCAGGCTGCTCAGAGGCAGACTCGGAGAGGAGGGACCGGGTGAGGAGGGGGCCGGCCAGCCCAGGGCTCCCCAGCAGGCCCGAGGCTCGTGCCCCGGCTTACCTTCCTCAGGCTGCAGGGAAAACTCATCCTGCCCACCGTCCTGCCCTTCGAGGCAGGTCGCGGGCACCCAGCCTTGCTCTTCAGCGGTGCTGACGAACCACCAACCTGGGGAAACGAGAGTGCAGACCGATGTCGGCGGGGTCGGGGTGAGGTCTGGGTGTCAGAACAGAGCAACACGTTCAGCCACTGTATGCGTCAGCCCTCAGGGAAGGCTACGAGGGCCCCTTTACTGGAGGAACGTGCCTCGCCACGTCAGCTGACTGCTGCTACCTGGAGAAGAGAAACAGAACCGACCTACCCGGAGACCCGGGCGGGGGAGGGAGAGGCCGTTCCGAAGAGGCGAGAGTAAAGAACGCAGCTACCTTCTTTCTCTAGGGTGTGCGAGGCACTCACTGTTGTACCTGCACTGTCTTACATATCTTCACGTTACCATCCTCCCTGCACCGATGAGGAAACTGCGGCTCCACGGGGGGGAACAGATCTGTCCAAGTTCTCCCAGTGGAGGGCAGCGCTGTGCACGCCCCGCCCCCGATGACTCACCTGGTCCCGCATCAGCCTGTGCACGGCAAGCTCTAGCTGCCTGCAGACGGGGCTGCCCCAGAGGCCTCTGCCCCAGGCTCAGGCCCTCCCTCTTCAGAGAGAAGTCTGCTTGGAACCTGTGCTGGGCGGGATAACGGCCCACCAAAGAGTGCCACATAATCCCCACACGGAACCTACGCACGAGCCAAATTACGTGGCAGAGGGCCTGAAGGTTGCAGACCGGATTAAGGCTGCCAGTCAGCTGACCGTCAGATGGGGAGACAGACGGCCCTGGGTCACACGGGTGCACCAGTGTGATCGCCGGGGCCTGAACCGTGGGAGAGGGAGGCAGGAGCGCCGGGGACACGGCTGTGGAAGGAAAGCACAGAGGGACGACACTGCTGGCTTTGACGATGGAGGACGGGGACAACACACACGCACGCACACGCATGCACGCACATGCACACACGCACGCACCTCACATTACGGAGCTTTCCTTTGTTGCATTTTGTTGATAGTGCATTTTTTTACAATTTGAAGGTAAGACCCCCCCGCCGCCACCAGCAAAAGATTATGACTCACTGAAGGCTCAGATGATGGTTAGCCTTTTTTGGCAATAAATTGTTTTTAATTGAGTTATGTACTTTTTTTAGACATAATGCTATTGCACACTTAATAGGCTATAGTATAGTGTAAACATAACTTTTGTATGCTTCGGGAAACCAAAAGGAATTCGTGTGACCTGCTTTATTGTGATATGGAAGTATTTGCTCTTACTGTGTAAAACCAGACCTGCAATATCTCCAAGGTCCGACTTTATGCACATGCCTGTGCACACACATGTGTGTGGTGTGCATACAATTATCATGAAGAATTCATGCCAACAGAATGGAAGGGCTCTCTGGGGTTTGCAAAAGGGACTAGGGTTGAAGTTAGTGGGAAAAACAGATTTTTAACTTTATCATGAATGCGTTAAAAAGAATGTATCCATACATATGGCTTGGATAAGTAAAAAATGTATCATTAGAAAGAAACGTTGCCAGTTTGTCGGCCACTTGAAGATTTGACCATCTGTTCCCCCACCCCGCCCACTAGCCCCTGGATGTGCCGGGCTTGTCCCCAGCCCTCCACCCTGGCCCCTACCCTCGCCCTGCCACGCATTCTTTCTGGCGTCACTCAAGCAGGTGGCCTGGAGGGTGGGGGACCACTTCCTTCAGTCCGCGTGGAGCATCCCAGCCACACCAACAGTCAGCACATACTCATTCCCAGAAACCAGAAGGTCACATGGCCCGGGGCCAGCTGGAGTTGGTTTAGAATTCCAGCTCAGCAGCCTGTCGGGAGACCTTGGGTGAGTGACCCAGTCCCTTGGAATCTTGGTTTCTTCAGCTTTGAATCAGGAATAACAATGGCCATATTGAGTAATTACGGACATTTGGTTGGCTAACCCCGATCTCATGACAGACGGGAACATAACCCACGTGCTGCTGAAGACACAGTCTTTCCCCTGGCTATTAAATCTTAACTAGTCATCGGGGCGTCACAGAGATGGGCCTGCTAATGATGTTGCAGCTGGTGTCACATTTTAGTCACCACAAAGCCAGGGGATTTATGTCACTTTTTTCTGGAGAAAATCTGCTCACCTCCTGCTCCCTACTCTGTGCCTTCAATGGTGCCAACAGCTGCTGTGTAGCTAAGGCAGGCAAAAGGGAAGGCAACGCACTTTTCTGAGCACCTACTGTGTGCCCAGCACAGGTTCAGGCCCTCTCCTTAGGTCATGTCCTTTAAGCGTCACCCCGGCCCTCGGAGGCAGAAGTGCTCTTTATTTCGCAGACGGGGAGGTGACGGTCAGAGACAAGCACCCGCCCGGATGGCTGGGAAAGGCAGAGCTCACAGGGAAACCCGGGCTCAGCATCTCGAGGCACCCCATTCGTCCCAGGCCTGGCCAGCGCGCGTGACCAGAGGTCCCTGCAAGGGCAGGTGCGCTAGGGAGCCCCGCAGTGTGCCCAGCCCACGCCAGAGCCCACAGCTGACGGAACCTTCGTGGACACTCCCGTGGGAATCACAGAAAATCCACAGAGCCCGTTTTCAGCGGAACGCCAGACTCCGTGCCTCCAAGTGCTTTGAAACCAGAAGGAATGTTCGTGAAACGGGAACCTCAAGACAAATCAGCCACCTCCGACCTGCTGATCAGTGACGACACGCTGGTAACCTGTGACCCAGTACGACATCTGAACGCTGGGGCCAAACAGCGGCAGCTTTCTAGGAGGTCGCCGGCCCGACCTGTGGACGCCGACCGGCCTGGACTGGCTACAGCGCTTCCCGAGTTCCCAGAGGCCTCCCGTCCTCGGGGCTCGGAGGGGGGACGGGGCCGCGAAGGAGGCGGCCCAGGGCCTACCTGACTCATTCTTCTCGATGATGTCCACCACCTGCCCCACGCTGAGGCTGATCTCCGAGCTCTCCTGCTTCTGGTAGTCCGCCACCACGACGTACTGCTCCAGGACCATGGGGTCCGCCGAGGCCGCGTCACTCCCTGTGGGTGGAAAACGCCATGAGGGGTCACAGCTGGCCACTGCCCATGGTGTGAGGGGGCAGGGGCCGGAGGAGCAGGGTGGCTCGGGAGGGCACTCCAAATAGAGAAAGAAGCTGTTCCAGCGCTAGTCTCACCCACTCATTCTTTCATCCACTCGCTCACCCACCACAGGGTACCGAGTGGCTGTCCTGTGTGGGCACGGGGCTCGGGAGTGGAGGTTCAGATTAAGATAGGATCCTTGCCCTATTCTGTTCACAGTAGCTTTTAGACTGTAGTTCCCTGCTGCTCAGTGGTTCCAAAGAGAGCGCAGGGGTTGGTTTTTCTGCCCCAGTTCTTCCAGAGCAGGTTGCCTTCAGCACCCACACACCCGCAGCACCCACACACCCGCAGCACCCAATTTATCCAGGCCAGGAATACCAGCATTTGAAATGCCAGGATGCTCCAACGAGGCTTCATTCAGGCCAGGTAGGTGTTCGGTGGAGACACCTCCTGGTGGGCTGTGAGATTGCAGCCAAGCTCTATCGTGCACAGGTCAGGGCCAAACCCTGACGTCGAGGCTGGTAAGGTAGCTAAAGCTCTAGGATCCCCAAGTGTGAAAGGAAAGTATTCCTAGATAAGGAACGTCATTCTTGGGGTCCCCGGAAAAGAAGAGAGAAGGGCAGAAGGGAAGGGAGATTTTACCATGAAAGAACTGCTATGGAGTATTCTCGAGACGCAAGTGTCTCATCGACCACAGGCTTTCCTCGTTGGCCCCGTTTTTACCCGAGAGGACACGTCCTAACATGTAAAGGTAACTGCTGTGGACAAGCCTGTTGAAGCCCCCACTGCCACGTGATGGCACTAGCACGGGTGGGAGGGGGCTTGAGGAGGGAACTGGGTTAGATGAGGTCTCGAGGCCGCATGCCTCCTGCTGGGGTCTGTGCTTCTTTGAGGAGGAGATGGCAGGGAGCCCCTCCTCCGTCTCCACAGTGGGGGGAGGCAGCCAGAAGGCAGCAGCAGCCTGCAAGCCGGGAAGGGGGCTCCTCTCCCCAGACCCCACCCACACCCCTACGTCGGTGGGAAAACAGGCCTCTCGGTCTGTGGCCCTTGGGTGGAGCAACCCACGCAGACGAACACCAGGAGTAACAGAGAAGCAGGAGTTTCTTCCCAGAAAGCTGCCGGTGTCGCTCCGAGTCAGGAAAGGGTAGAAAATCAGGGAGAAAGATGCTTCTTCCAGGACCATGGAGCCCCCTCACCCTCCCCCGCCCCCTGCAGTCACTGCACTGCTGTCCAAGTCCTTTTTCCTTTCTGCTCCGCCCCCTAATCCGCCTCCCTCCCCCATAACTGTCATCCTGCTCTCTCTATCTAGGAGTCTGTCTCTATTTTTGCTTGTTAGTTCAGTTTGTTCATGAGAAAGGTGCTTCTTAAACAAGCACATGACCTATTCGCTTTTGGGGGAGAGTTCTGGTTTGTTTTTTCATTCCTGCAGGAGGAACGGAATCTGAGGCCCCAGCAGGCTCAAGTCTGCAGGAGCCGGCCAGCGCGCCCCGGCTGGGAAATTCTGGAGACAGATAAGCCTTCTCCAGCTCAGAGCTCTGGCCCAGAAATCTCAGGGCTTGGCTGTTAACTTTAAATCCCTTTCAAATTCAATCAAGAAGGCTGGTTCCAACCTAAAGGAAGGGCTCCGAGGTCAGGCAGAGAATAAGGCTAATCCCAGCATGGGCGCTTCCTGGGAAAAAGAGGCTATTTTCCACCCGGCCGGACTATAAATAAGTCACTGCAGGTGGGCGACAGACCCGCGGTGGCCGCAAATTAGAGCTTCCTCTCTCTTTTCCAGACCAGTCCCCTCATCAGGGCCGTCTACTGGGACACTTTTGTTTTCCCAAACCAGAGCTGTCTCTTTCCTCCCTGCCTCCCACCCGCTCCTTCCAGGAAAGGCTCAAAGCCAGAGACCCGTGACCAGCCGGAGAGCGGCCACTCGGCTCTTTTCTAAGAAACGTATCATTATCCCCAGGGCTCAGGGACTATTTGCAGCTGTCGCAGGACGCCAGGGCGCTGGCCAGTACCTATTAAACCGGAAAGTGGGGCTGTAAACAGGCTGCGCGGGCAGGGGCCAGAGTTCATTTCAGAGCCGCACCTTGAGGCAGAGAGAAGCTAGCACGCTTCCCAGTGAGAGAACGGCGTCGGGGCCTGGCGTGCGGACCCCCGGCCTTGGACCCCGGGGGACCAGGACTGTTGCGATTGTTGCTGGTGCTGGTCATCAGCTAACAGGAGCAGAGTAAAAGCCGCAGCAAACGTGTATCACTTCCAGCAAGCCGGGCACTGTTCTTAGTGCTTTGTACATATTATTACAAATTCTATAATCATCCTGTAAGGCAGGTTACTGTTATCACCCCCATTTTACAGATGAGGAAGCTAGCTTCCTGGGGTCCCAGACGAATAAAAGGACTTAGAATTCTGGAAGCTCTGAAGACCATGTGGCTCCAGGCCTGGTGCCGGCAGGGCCTTCACAGATGCGGGGTGGGGGGGGGGGGTGATCCTGGGTGCGGGCAGGAAACGTGGGTGCTGACGGACCCAGGCCGGGAGAACCCAACCGCTCCTTTGCCTGCGCCCAACCCGCTTCTCTTTTCCAAGAGCGCTCTCGATCTGTCCAGAGTGGCGGTGCTGGGCGGGGAAGGACAGAAGCGCTCGGAAGGAAGAGAAATGACTTTGCAGGAGTGCAAGGGAGTGCAAGGGAGTGCGGGAGCTGCGGGAAGCAGCAGCCGTCAGAGCCCCGAACAGTGGGGACAGGAGGAAGCACAGATGCGGGCCTGGAGCTCAGGATGGCGAACGGATTGGGGCCCAAATCTCTCGACACGTCCACCCCCTGGCCGGCACGCTGACTGACTGGCCCCCCAGCCCCGAACGCCCCTCGTTGGGCAGAAAGGTCTGCTCCCTCTTCAAGACCCAGGGTCTCTCCTTTTAAGCTCCTGCCAGACACCTGGGAAGGATGCTGTTAGTTCTGGGTTACCACGTTCCTTTGTCTAGAGAAGAAAGGCAGCGAACACCCTTCAGCGTGGTTGGGAAGCTGTCACGTGACCCCTCCGGGTGCTCTCTAGGAAAGACACCGGGCCTCATCCACTTTGTAATTTTTCAGTCTAAGATGAAACAACCTCCAATCATTTTGCGGGGGAAAGAGTGTGGGGTATCGACCAATCTATCAAGCGACCAAGTATCCATCCATCCATCCATCCATCCATCCATCCCCCACACACCCATGCACACAGCCGTACCCCCCGTGTGGAGCCCGGAGCCTGGCGCACACACCCTCGTGCTCAGCAGGGGTACGACAAACACTGAACGAATAGAAGAAAACGGAACATGCTCTTACCAGATTTCTTTTTCCCGGCATGCTCCCTGCACAGGAAGGAAGGGGCGAGAAAGAGTGATGAGTCAGTACCTGTCGTGTGCTGACATAAGTTACTCTGTTAGGAAACTGAGATTCTCCGTCTCATAACATGTCCAGCCAACAAATAAAATGTAAGCCAGCCCCAGGGACCCACATTCCTTAAAAAACAAAACCCTCTTAATTTTCTCCCTTTCCCAGACAAGTGCTCTGGTGCCCTGGGGAGGAACTGGTTGGGTGGGTGGGGGGCCTCCACATTGCACCAAGCCTGACGTCCACCTCACCAGGCACAGGGGGGGCCCTGCCCCATTCTCGGGATCCCTGAGACGTGGACCTGGAGCAGAAGGCGGTTGGCGGTAAGCAGAACACGCTGAGAAGACGGGGCAGAAGTACGGACAGCAGTGAATGAAGCCCATCTCCCCCACGGTGACATGGGGACACTACTGTGGGCGCACGGAATGCTGCCTGATGGCGACACCCTTACCCTTGTCAGTCAGGTCAGAGTTCACACATGCAATTGCATGACAAATGCGGTACCACGACACAGAATCTGCCAAGTGCCTTCCGGGGGGATTATCCCATTAGCAAAAAGGTTTCCAGCATTACAGGGAGAAAATCGAGGTGACCGGAGGTCAGGTTGGGACAGGTGTTGTGGCAACAGTAACATCAGCTACTTATTACTTAGTAATCTCCCTCTGCCGGGACCCAGCCCAGTACTTCTAACTCACTCGTTTACTTCTCGTAAGAACCCTAGGGAATTGGTGCTCTTTTTATGCCCATTTAACAGATGAGGAAAATGAGGCACAGCTAGGTTAAGTAACTTGCCCTGAGCTACACAGCTAGCAAGTAGCACAGCCAGGGTCAAAACTCACGCCTATGTAATTTTTAGAAATTGAGATATAATTCACACAGTGTGAAATTCATTCTTGTGAAGAGTACAATTCACTGGTGTTTAATATAGTCACAAGGTTCTACAACCATGACCACTATCTAATCCCAGAAAATTGTCATCACCCCAAAAAGGAGCCCCCTTTCCACCAGCAGTCACCCTCCAGTCCCCCTCCTCCCAGCACTGTGCGCGGTCTCTAATTCTCCGTCCGTCGTGGACCTTTTGTAGGAATGGGATCAGACACTGGGTGGCTTTTCACGTCTGGCTTCTGTAACGCAGCGTCCTGTTTTTAGGGCCCCTGCGGTGCTCACAGGGGTGCCCCCAGTCGGCTTTCTTCTTCATCACCCACCTACGGTGACAAAGGAGGCTCCATATGCGCAGTGAGGACTGGCTCAGCCCGCTGGGGGGAGAGGGGGAGGTCCTCAACCCAACTTACTCTTTGGGGGGATTCAGGTCCTCAGGTCTCGTCTCAAAGAACTGCAGTACCTCGTCACACTGGGAGATGTAGGGGGGCAGCTGGATCAGGGCCTGGAGAAGAGGCACGGGTGAGCTATTAACTCGGGGTGCTCCAACCGGGGCCAGTGGCAGGAGCCCAGCAGGAAGGGCGGCAGCTTGTTAAAACACATTGCCTGGGCTCCCGCTGCCCAGACATTCTGATTCAAGTCGGGGGTGGGGCCTGAGAACGTGCATTTCTAACGTTCCGTGGCGCTGCTGGTGTGGGGACCACACACACCATCAGTGCATGTACGGGGGGGCAGCAAAAGTTAGGTTTACAGTTGTGGGCACGCGGAACAGTCTATTCCGTATTTATTGCACTATTTGCCACACAGACAACCGTAAACCTACGCTGGCCACACCCTGTACACACACATGAATATTACAGGCGTATCTGCACAAAAACTACGTACGTATTTAGACAAGACCACAAACTGTGACCCGCACGCCACACCATTATTCTTCTACCGCACCCCTCCACCGGAGGGTGGGCGCCTGCCGGTTAACGCACCCCCGTTCGTTCAGCGGGCTGCCCGCCCTAAACACTTAGGTCTTTTCCGACAGGCCTGCGTCCATGCCCTAACTCATGGACCTGAAGGGGTAAAGGGAAAGGGCTGGTTTTTAAAAACATGTTTATATACATATATAGTTTTTAGAGCAAGAGGAAGGCGGGGAGAGAGAGAGAAGCATCAATGTATCAATGTGAGGGAGAAACATCAATCGTTTGCCTCCCATATGATCCCCAACTGGGGATCAAACCCACAATCTAATATGTGTCCTGACCAGGGATCGAACCTGCAACGTTGTGGTGCATGGACGCGACGCTCCAACCAACTGAACCACCCGGCCAGGGTGCAGGGTGTGAAGGGACTGTTTCACGAGTTAGGCAGAGGTGAGAAGTTCCCAGCTTTGTGGGGCTGAAACACGCAGGACCTCCCACTGCCCAAGTCCGGGCTGTTTTGCCACCTGGGCTCCCCAGTGAAAGGAGCCTCCACCGCCTCTTCCGTGAGGAGGGTCAGGGGGTGGGTGGGGGCACGAAGCCGGGCTGGGCCTCCATTGTGTTGGTGGCGTGCCCACCGGCAGCTCTGCACCCAATGGCTCAGTGGACGTTTTTTATGCCCAGCTCTGTCTGCACTGGATTCTATGCCAAATGGGAGAGAAGTCATGGGTGCATGGGACCACGAAAGAGTCCGACAGGAAGACCCGGCTCCACAATAAACAAACAGCTCCGTTGGACAAACATGGACTCGAGCCGCCTCTGACCCTGTCCCGAGGACGCAGATCTGAGGGCAGTGGAGTTGTGCCCCCCACACACTTCTTCACCAACTTGTACGGACGTGCGCAGCACGGGCGACTCTGCCAGCCATCCCACCGGGCAGCGGAGGGGCAGGGGTGACACGGGACCCGCTCTCTGTGCAGAAGGCCCCGTACCCCTGCACCTGCCCCTGCCTTCCCGCCGCCCTCAGGGCGAGGCTGGGCTGGAAAGGGCAAGCCCCGCATTGTCTTTGCAATGAGCCCATCACAGCTCCCTCCCCGCCCCGCAAGGTGACGCTGCTCCTGGACGCCGACAGGTTAACGGGGAGATGGCTGGGGAGTCTCCGGTGGGACACCTTCCGCAGCGTTTCCGGAGTATTTTGACCCCGTGTAATTGATTTCTCCAGCCTATAAAAAATTCTAACCGTGGTGAAATGCACCTAACCTAAAGTGTGAGTCTTACCCATTGCTCGGGGTCCACACGGCTCAGCGGCACTCAGCACGCGCACGCGCACGCTGTCGTGCGCGTGCCCACTGCCCATCGCGAGAGCGTCCCTCGTCTTGCAGAACGGCACCTCCGTGCTCATTCATCAGCGCTCCGTCCCCTCCCCCGGCTCCCGGCACACCCCACCCCACTCCGTATGGATCTGAGACTCTCGGAGCCTCGGGCACGTGGGACCATCCGGTATTTGTCCTTCGGTGACTGGCTTCCTTCATTTGACATAATGTCCCCAAGGTTCATGCATGCTGTGGCCTGTGTGGGCATTTCCTCCCCTTTCAAGACTAAGTAATAGTCCACTCTATGGCTTTATCGCTTTTTGGGTTGCTGACCCCATATGACCTTGGAGTGAGGCTCTGAATTTAAAAAGCCCATCTCTGCCCTGGCTGGCGTAGCTCAGTGGATTGAGCGCAGGCGGCGAACTAAAGCATTGGAGGTTCGATTCCCAGTCAGGGCACATGCCTGGGTTGCAGGCCACGGCCCCTAGCAACTGCACATTGATGTTTCTCTTTCTCCTTCCCTTCCCTCTCTAAAAATAAATAAATAAAATCTTAAAAAAAAAAAGCCCATCCCTCCCCGCATAAGACCTGCCCCAGACCTGAAGTGGGCAAACCTGTGAGGTGGGTACTTAGTTTTTTGTTTTCTAAAGATTTTATTTATTTATTCATCTAGAGAGAGGGGAAGGGAGGTAGAGAGGGAAAGTAACATCCGTGTGAGACAGAAACATCAATTGTTTGCCTCTCAAATGCCCCCCAACCTGGGACCCTGGCCCACAACCCAGGCATGTGCCCTGATCAGGAATCGAACCTGGGACCTTGTGGTTCGCAGGCCAGCGCCCAGCCCGCTGAGCCACCCTAGCCAGGGCGGAGGTGAGTGTTTCAGTAGGGTCCCTCCCCTGGTCCCTGGCTGCTCTGCCCTTCTGGAGTGAAGGATGCTGACCTGGTACTTGCGGCTCACTGACTTTTGACATTAATCTTGCAGTGGCTGCTGTTCTGCAGCAGATCCCCGGGACCTGGCTTCTCCGGGCCAGGGCCAGCGAGCCCAGGAGGACACGTGCAAGCCCGCCCGCCCGCCTCCCCGCCCCATTTCTGTCCGCCTCGCCGGCTGGGTCAGCACAGCAGGTATTCCTTCTCCAGGCCAGGTCCTGCTGCGGTCCCCAGCCCCCGTGGGCATCTTCCTCTGAAATCCTGCAGCTCCGGCAGTCGGAACCACATAATGAAGGAGCTGGTTACACGCTGGACTGTGGTGTGTCCCAGCTGCTTCGTGTGCAAAAATCTTGCGGCTTCCTCCCAGACTGCACCAACAGCATCTGTTGGCTCAGCACTCGAGGGTCCGTCTGGGCCGCCGCAGGTACTCCTGGGACGGCTGGCCCGTTTTAGAGATGGGGAAATGGAGGCTCTGGGGAAGTGCCCAGCCTTCCACCCAACATCCTCAGAGGGCAGGGGCATGTGGCTGTTCGTCCTGCACCGCCCCCCCACATCCAGACGGTGCTGGGGAGACCCTGATACCTGGTCGAAAGGAAGAGGGCTAGATGTGGCCACGTGTGACTGTGTTTGCAGCGAGCGGGGTGGGCCCCGAGGTGGCCACGGTCTCTGCCCAGAGGGGGCCTCCCAGGGTGCTCCTTGCCGAAGTGGGCCGAGGCCCTGAACCGACCACGGGACAACGAGGTCCATGGAAACCTCCCGGCGGTGCCAAGTTCTCTTTCGGTTTTGAGCAATTCCTGGGAAGTCGACGCCAAACCAAACCCCCAAGCCGTGAACTACAGCCGAGTCGCTAATGCAAGGCAGCTCTGAAGGCTTTGATGTGTGCCCCTTCCATTGCGGAAAGACAGGCTCGCCGAACAAACGTGACCTGGGGCAGGCGAATAATTCTGCTTCTGAAATATTCCAGGGCTGCCTGGCGTTGGGCCGGGGGTGTCCAACAGCCGCAGTTCCAGGAAAGCCCGGGTCTTGTCCTGGGGGTGGAATCCTGGCCCCACGGGCACGAGTGGCTGGTCGGTGCAGGGAAAAGGGAGGAGCAAGTCGTCCTTGCCGAGGGGACTCCTCAAAGGTCAGACAGGCCCAGGCCCGGATTCCGGCTCTGGGCGTGCCCATCCCCTCCCTGCCCCTCCGGGTGGGTGCCCGTCGGTAAAATGGAAATAAGGAGCACCCGCCGCGGAGGGCTGCGTCACGGAGTAAGGGAGCCAGGGGCTGGAAGGACCCCGTCGTGCGCGAGCTGCCTGGGAGAAGCAGTCCGCCCGGCCTTCGGCTCTCTGGGCTGCAGCCAGCACAGCGCTGTGGTGGTTTCCAGAGGTGAGCCTGGAGTCAGCAGACGCTTGCACTCAGAAACGGGCCTGGGCCGGAGGGAAAGCTCTGTGGTTTCCCAGCGCCCTTTCGGTCCTCTCTAACTTCCAAAGAACATCCCAGAAAGTGGGTGCTCCTCTCTCTTTATGCTTTAAAAATTAGACTCCACTGGCGTAAGAACGCTTACCAGGAGACGCCCCTCCTGACAAGTCTGTAAGGGCCCAGCACAGTGCTGTGGGCCGTTGTACAGAAGGTCTCTATAGCTTATTCTTGCTGACCGAAACTTTGTGCCCGCCGGTGAGTGACTCCCCACTGTCCCCTATCCCCAGGCCCCGGCCCACCATTTCACTCTTTCAGATTCAGTCTGTGAATCTGACCCTTTGAGGTCCCTTCCACAAACGGAATCATTACGGTGTTTGTTCTTCGGTGGCTGGCTTGTTTCGCTCAGCACGATGTCCTCAAGCGCCACCCGGGCTGTCACACATGGCAGAAGGGCCGAGTGGCCTTGGAGTGTTCGCGCCTCCTGCATTTAGGTGGTTCCCGCATCGCGGCCACAGTGAACAGGGCGCAGAGAACGCGGGTCACGAGCGCACGGAGGGATGGGAGGTGGCGGGCATGAGAGAGCCAGAATCAGAGCTGGACCTGTCTGACCTTGGACGTGAGCCCTCAGCAAGTGTCGTTGCTCTTCGAGATCCTGATGTCAATTCTTTTGAGTAAATACCCGGAAGTGGGATCGCTGGCTTGTACGGTAGTTCTGTTGTTAGCCTGATGAGGGACCCCCCCGCCCACCGCTTTTCACGGCAGCTGCGCCATTTTGCTTTCCCACCGATGGGAGTGCAAGGGTTCCAGTTTCTGCACACCCTCACCAACACTTATCCCCCCCAATAACAGCCATCCTACCAGGTGTGGAGTTATAGCTCATTGAGCCTTTTTTTAAAAGATTTTATTCATCCATTTTTAGAGAGGGGAGGGAGGGAGAAAGAGAGAGAGAGAGAGAG